CCTCGCGGATGCTTGTGGAATGACATGCGACTCAAAACAAACCTGTTTATCTCGGCACGGATGCACGGAAAGCAGTATGTCGTTTGAAACGGACGTTATAGTATCCCCCCGACATGGATGCTTGGGGAACCGTGTGCGGTTCAAAGCGGACATTGCTATCTGGCGTGGCATGGATGCGCGGGACCATATGCATTCCAAAGCACAAAACAGGTGTTGTGAAATGAATTTGCGGCTTGGCGAAAACTCATTTCTTTGCGCAGCTTTAACCCGCGGAGCCCCGAGTAGCACAAGCCTGCCCACGGACGTCACCATGCCATCCCCGGCCCCAAGTTGGAATGTGCGTGATCTCCTTTGCCGGGGCAGAGGAGGGGGGTGTGGGAGTGAACACAGTTCTGGGAGCAAAACGCTGGTCTAATCCTAGGCCGGATGCTTGCCGCAGTCCAACTAAACATATGTGACGTCATGTAGTTTCCATTCTCTTTGCTGAAGTGTCCCAAAACCACCAGCCGAAGACAGAGAAACCGCTAACTCTGAGGGTCAATGCTAAAATAAGTATCAATTGGAAAACCACGACATCCTAACACTGAACGCAAGGCCCAAACCAAAATACATGCAGCTCGAGGCACTGAGCATGGACACTGGCATCAAAGGAGGATCTCCTTCACTATAGATAGCCTCAGCTTCAATCACCCTGGTAAATTCTCGGAGGGCTACTTCGGCACTTTTGCAAAGGTGCAGTAGATGCATCTGGTCTTCAATCAGGAAAGGAGGATTCAGACCCTAAGGAGCAGATCAGGCCAAGTATGACAATACTAAACACTTGGACATACCTGGGTCCAGGGTCCATGCAGACCGAAGGGATTCCCTAGAACAAGCCTGAAAAATGATCTTGGCCTGAACCAGAAGTAACAGCCGAGCAAACAAAAAATACCAAGAAGAGATCTAGGCAATCTAGGCAAGAATAATCACTGCACGGGGCTTCATTTTAGTTGTTCGTTGCGCCTGTTGATTATTACGCCCCAAATTTGAAAGGGCTTGACAGAGAGACTGCAAGCACAAACAAAACAGGGTTACGGGGAGTTACGCCTGATCATCCGGAAATTCGACACAATTTTTCTTTCAACTAGGAATGAAGGCTCCAAAAGAAAACTTTCCAGGTACATCACGAAAAGTGCGAACAAAACGTAAGGCGATGACCCCGCACTCAAGAAACCTCCACTTTTGCCTGGGGTCTATTTTTCAGTCTGAACAAGGAATAATCTACTTTTCCTTTCCAGTATGGAGTACCAGACCAAACAGAAATGTAGGTGGAAGGCTTCTTCACCTTAGTACTGTTTGGACAAATTGGGGTTGAGAGCAATATGGCAAGAGATGCCGGGCTCCGCCCGTCTCATTCATTCACTCCAAGTAGGGACAGTTATTCGGTTTTGGGGGCAGTCTCCTCATTGGAAAGCGAGCGACGTGGATCTGCTGAAGCTCCGCCACCTCTTCTCATCAAGCATGGGGAGGCAGGGTAGCACACTTCCAGAAAGAAAAAAGAGAAGGCTCACAGGCGCTAGAGTACGCTAGCCTCAACGGAGTGTACATGAGACTCTGTGACCGTTTAACAATCTCATAGTTGTGGGGTGCGGATCTTCCAGCCCCATGCGCGTGAAATGCCAAATTGCCCTTCAGCTGCAGAAAGAATGGCACAAGTAAATCGGAGAAAGAATCTCTGAAGCCCCGGCAATACCAAGAATGACAGACAGTCAAATGCAGCTTTTTTTTGGCACGCTTCTGCTTTCGTTGTTCAACTTCCCTGAATCCAAACCCGTGGAGATGGCAAACCCCTCCTCTGAGCCGCAGAAGCCCTCCCTCCGCCGGTAGACCAGAAGAAACAGAACCAACTGCTCAAAATCCTGAGTGGCCGCCAAGGTTGCCATGAGCCAAAGCTTTGAAAGTGTTTCTTCGGAGTGTGTGTGTGTGTGCGTGTACGGGCCTGACTTTAGCTGCCATAGGTCTCATACAGTGATGCCTGACCTGATGTACATGTTGGAGGCGATCCTGCCTCAACCTAAAGTCAAAACATGTCGTACTCGTGGCATGCAATGCCTTGAAGTCGAATGCCATGGCAAGGCTCCCAGCCCCAACCAATCTCCTAGAGCCTCCGCCTTGCAAATTAAGGGCCATCCTCTCGGCACTATAATGCTACTTTGTTGTGGCCTTCTACCGTCCTGAATACCATGACGAAGTCTACAAATTTGTGGCTAAGCAAGGATTACCAAGAACAATGCAAAACAGGACTAATTATGCTTCTTGAAAGTCACCTTCTTGACTACTTGGTGACTACTTGGTGCGCCAGGCTTTCATTTCCTTTGGGGCCCGGTCTTCACTCGGAGGTTAAGGATCAGTTACAAGAGGCTCCCAAGAGCGCAGACTCGACTTAGCTTCTGAACTAGCAACCCTTCCTGCTTGAAACAAATCCCTAAGATTTTGAAGGAACCATGACGACTCAAAAGACAAACAACAACTCCAGCAAATACTCGTGAAGGCCCTGATTTGCTAAACCGAAGCTATGCTACTTCTCCTTAAGAGTAGGTTGGAAATCTTACATGTCCCTGAACACTACAAGCAAGCCAAGGGGTCCAAGCAATTCTGCCCACCCGCGGTGATTGCGGAAAGCGCTTCCTTCCACGAAGGGGGCCGTAGGGTTTACCGCCAAAGGGTCTGTACATGGGGATTCAGAAGTCTTAGATTCTTAAATCAACGGTTATCTTGGCAGGCATCTAGTACATCTTGATATTCCGGGCAGCTAGGGGGTAGGTCCGTATGGCCCAAGTAGCGCTCTGAGGAAGCATGTTAGCAACAAGTTTGGCAAAGCTCGGGCAGCCAACATCTCCGCATAGTGAACCTCATCACATCTTGGATTCTGGACCCCTGCTGCAACAAGGTGCCCTGCAAAATGCAGAACCAAGGCCTCAAAGTGCTGAAAGTATTGCACCAGGATTCGCCCCTCGTGGCAGCAATAATATGAGAAGATAGCAGCCGTTATATCAATCGCACGGCGGCAAGAGTGAGAACGACCAAACCCAATTGCGACAGTCTCCAAAAGACTGACTCTTCGACCAGAAACTGATGCCAAGCCCCGGAAACGTAGTTTAATTCTGTCTGACTACGTCTTCCTCCTCTAGTCTATACATCATCCGCCTACACCTCCCTCCTTCCTTAAGCACCCCTTCTCTGTCCGCCCTTCCGCCTCAATCATTCGACGGTTTGGCATAAATCCCAGATAGTGAAGCATCTCGCGGAGCTCCTGGGCAACCATTGTATTGAGGGAACCCTATTATTTACTATATAAAGCCATTGTGGCGACGTAATTTAAATTCCTTAAAGCCCTAATTACATTCACCCTGATGTCTAAGTTCCTCAGTCCTAGCTATGACCCCAAATTAAATGGTAAGGCTTTACATTTTATAGGCTACATAATAGGCAAATAAGCAGGACCCCGAGGATCAAGGGCCGAGCGACCCCAGTGTCACCCCGATGCAGCATCATGATCAGGGCTTGGACACTCTGGCGAGAGGCTCTACGATCTGTAAGCAGATGTACATGTCTCTGAGAGTGTGGCAGAGACACCCTGTCATAGTGCCACAGCAGACTCAGCACAGCCTCACTTCGCTTAAGGCCATCCCAGTTCCCCTGCTGCTGCCAGGTACCACTGGCCAGTTATAATTCTTCTTCTTCAAGCTTGCAGGCTTGCAGAATGCACCGCTCCTCAATGGAGATCGTACCCGAGCCATCTTCGTCAAAGCGGTCGAAGATCACCTCACTTGCCAGACAAAGACCCTGTCAGTAGCGGTTGGAGGAGTCTAGCAGCAGGCGGTCTACATCATCAGGACTTCATGAGCTGGTCTAACTAGGCCTTGTTTGAGGGGCTCCCTCAATCATCACCTGAATCTTCTTAGGCCCCGCACCTCCATGAAATGGGTTTCTGGGATGGAAGGACACCTCATGGTCTCTCTTTTGAGTGCCTGCCCAGCTCGGGAATTCTGTGACACAAAAGCCCGCCTACAAGCCTACAAAGCAAGCATACAGTCAAAAAGGCAGTACGATCCCTATAAAAGCCTATATAATATGGTAGTTTCCATTTTCTTTTCCATTATCCCTATATTACCAAACCTTAAGTCCCCGTCCAAGAGCTGGCCAGCTGAGCCTGAGCCAAGCCTATGCTTCTAAATTTCTGAATACAACCCATATGTAACCCCTATATAATTCCCGTATAATCCCCATATAACCCCTATTTAATCCCCGCATAATCCCTATATAATCCCTAATCTTGCTGAAGGTCACTCCAGTCTTCACTCTTCCCTGCGTCCTCGAGGCAGCAGGAAAAGGGAAGTCCAATGCAGCCGAGACGCCCTGTACCTAGGCTATCACACTGGAACAGTGGCCGTCTTGCGAGGACTCAGCAACTCCTATCCACACTTAGGGTACCACACGCCTTTACCTCGACCACAATATGTCCACCACGTCCCCAACAGCTAGTCTGCAGGGAATCTGGCTCTGCTTGGGTGGGGGCCGCAGCCTGCAGCCGTGGCGCCTGTCTTGGCAGTACTGGGTGTACTTGCCCTTGGCTCGGAAAGTGATAACTACTGACTCCTTGGGTGGTTTCACCTGCTGAATGGGATTTGGCAACACCACTCCCAGAAAGGTCTCCTGATGCTCCTTACTATGGCAAGATACTGACACAAGGCTTTCAGTACACTACAGGGATACTTGACGATCGGTTTCAAGAAATTTAACTCATTTCCGCTGCTGAACCTTGGGCGGTCGCAGAGTGCCGGATCCACGGCATGCTAGTAGAATCGACCAAGGAACCATGAAGCTCTCGAAGTCGTCGAAGCCCATGTGATCATATCTGGTGGTCTTGTCCTGGGCAGCAACAGTGCACAACCAAGGTCCCAGCATCAGCTAGCCATCCTCGTCTAGCCCACGCGGCGGTTGTTTTCCATTAGCTTGTGTCAGCGTGCCATCCAGTACAGGCTATGCGGGGTTGACACCACCGCCCCGCCCCCTNNCCCCCCCCCCCCCCCCCCCCCTACTTTATAGGCCATTCTTAGGCCCCAATGATACCAGGCATCCATCAGAGTTCGCACCTCTGTCGCATTCAGGAAGATGCAACCCAGAAATGTCAGCAGCTCGAACACGTCCTAGGTTGGACACGAGTTCACTGCCTGACCACAACCCCAAGTGCCCGTGACGGAACTCGCGTGATTTGCGAGTCATCAACACACCGAAAATAATTTGCGGCACAGACACATCTTTGTGGACGTCAATACTCCCTGGCATCATGAAACGCCTGAGCTGTGAGAGTTTTCGCTTTGAGAGACTACTCTGCATGCAGCTGTAACTGCAACCCCTTCCTGCCTGTTTGGGAACTGAAACTGCCCTGCATCTGTTCCCAGTTGTCAGGGAGCAGGTGCGCTTTCAGTACCACAAGCCGACGCATTGCGTAGTCCCTTCCTCAAAACGTGAATGCCCCCCTCCCCCCACTAGCCAATCCACGCGAGTTCTCATGTCTGGTTGCTCTCTAGATACCCTCCGTCGCTTATGAGGCACCCCTGAATCCTAGACCATCCTAGACCAATGCAGGCTGTGAGGTTTCAGCCAGGGCTCCTGAAACCAGAGTAGAGCCGCGAAACTTCCGATTGCGAGAAGCCTTCCTGTGGCCAGATGGTCGTTACCACGGCTGAAATTACAGGGATCATGCAGGGTTCACAAGGCGCAGAACAATTCAGAATGTAAAGGAAGAGTGCTACTCCTGCGATAGACTCGATAGGCGAGACGAGCAATAGCTGCTCAAACAAACAAGACCTGCTGTGGCAATGCTGAACACGACTTGTTATTTGATGGGTTTAGTGCCAGACGCAGCGACCAGCAATTATGAACTGTGCATCGCGGCTTGGATCATTCACCCGTATGACTCATCCCTAGAGCTCGTACTTTTGGTACGACCCTTGACGACTCGCGCTCCTCTGTCGGATCTTTTTTCAGATTCTCCATGAGCTGATCCTGCGGATCACGCGGTTCTTCCCTAAAGTGTTAACCAGGAATTGCGGCTGTTAACAACCTACAGTAGCCTCTGAAACCAAGATACTTTGCCCGCTGCCCAGTGAGGTGGTTGGATATCTTTCTGAGGACCGTTGTTCTCATCAGCCTCGTAATCATTGTAATCATTATTGCTGCATTTGGCTTCTATCCTGCGGAGTACCCGGGAGACGCCGCAAGAGCTTCGTGCCTAGTATCAACCTTCATCAACCACGCCGGTGCCCAGTCCAGATCTTTGGTCAGAGATGGCCGGCGTGCCGCGAGGTCCGCCTGGAGTGCGAGGGTGTTAGCTTCACCGGTTTTGCGGAGACTACACTGAATACACGGATAAGTACCCGACCGCGTTCAGCTCGGAGGCATGCGGCTCAACAATGCAAAGTGTCTCAAAGCTGGCGACAAGATGTTGTTGGACGCTGTCGAAGCTGAAGACTTGATTTCGAAACTCCAGCTTGCACTTGCAGTGTGCCGAGCCCATGCTACGACTTCTGCGCTTGCCACATCCAACAACACCATGCAGGGACCAGCATGCATGTGCGTGGTAGGGTTGGACATGACGCAGGGACTGCAGTTCTGGCGAGTGTTCATTTGGTCTTCGGGATTTGTGAGTGAGACTTGCACTCGAAGCCTGTGGCAGATGCGTGCGCATGCTGGGCAATGTCATACTTTATGGATGTGAATTGGGGATAGGGATGGGTAAGGATGGTTCATTGTTTGCATCTACCGCCTTGTGCTCCTACAATCACATGGCTTGCCCCACGGTGCATGATTACATGTTTACCAGAAATCATAGCAAGCAACCGGGAATAGTCCAGATCCTAGGCTAGCCACATCGCTTGGCCCCTGGTATTTGCCTACCACGAAATCCTGCTTCATTTGCTTCAAGTTGCCGGAGGAGCTTTCGAGGAGATCCGCGAATCTCGAGACTCGCCTCCGTCAGGGGTTCTTTAGTTTGCTTCCGGCCTGTTGTTGAAGAATTTGGGCTTAGGCGTGTAGGCTTCTAGGTTGGGCACTGCTTGGTTACAACTGGCGACGTAGTGCGCAGGCTGCTACTTGCCACCATCCTGCAGAATTGAACGTGTAGGACGCGGGCCTCCGCTTCCTGGTTTGTTGTCGAGCAATACAGGATAGCGCGTAAATTCATGGGCTTAGACTTAAAATACTTGAAGAAAACCCAAGAATCACGGACACGAATTACGGGCGCATCTCCTGCACAGGAAAGCAGTCACTCCCCAAAAGAGAGGCCTGCAACATCAAGCGCTCAACCCTACACTGGCCCGGCCCTAAAAACAGAGCCGGAGGTGGCAGGAAATGAGGTGCCTACATGAAGAAGTAAGACTACAGCATACTACAGCTTGCGCAGCTTCATGGCAAGGATTGAATTCCTCATCCCATTACTATGGAGAAACCCCACAAAAGCTGGCTATCACCAATTACGCCCGCAACAATCAAGCCGGGACAAAAGAAACCTGATGACCCCAGCACCTCAAACGCTAAGCCTCTGTCTAAAAGGCCTCAGACTTTGAGAAGGATCGAAGAAAAACTTGGGACCATCTGGAAGAACTACTGTATGGCTAGTCGCTGCGAGTACGGATCTCGAAGTCCGTAGCTGTCACAGCCTTTCGCGAGCCTCTCAAAGCTCTCGGATTTCATGACGTGGCTGGGATTCAAGGATTAACTTAGCTGCATCAGGAGCTAATTTAGCTGAGTCAGTGAGGTGTCTAGGTGATATACCCTAAGGGCATGCAGGGCCTGGCTGCGGGACGTGGGAAACAAGGGGATGCCACTGTTTGAGGCTAGCAGTTGGGCATGCCGGCTGCTGGGCTGGCTTGCTTTCAATGCGCTTGGTCTGTTCTCATTGTAGGCCCGCAGCTAGCGGAGAACTTCAGAATAACTCCTCCATTGCAACTAGGAAGCTGAAGCAACGTAAGCACGAATCTTGCAGACATAAAGCGTAATACAGGCATGAGCTGTTTACAGCACATGATAAACCAAAATTATGAGCTAGAGAGTAGTAGCCCATCCCTGAGGCGGCTGGGGGAGGGGAGAGCGGGAAAAGCTGCCTAATCTCATGGCTGTGATCTCTGGCTCGTCATCTGAGATTTGCCGGCTGAAACGCCGCATCATCGAGATGCTCTCCTGCAAATGTGGTCAACAAGCGAACTTCACAGGTACTGCAAGTGACCACAACAGCACTACCAATAACCACCAGCATGGGTGTCACTTGATTTGCGCTTGCCGTCAACGCCATGCTATGTAACCAACGGCGCTGTCAATTGGCATGACCAAGCCTTTCGTTTCACCATCACTGGCGGCGGCATGTCTTCCAAGTCCTAGGCAGACAGCCCCGCTGTAACGTAGGGCTCTACACGTGGTGGGTCTCCTACCCGCTGCATGAAGGACCTTCTCAGCTTCTAGTGTTTAGGGATAAGCAAGTGCCGTAAGCACTCCCAAGAGTCTTCCTAACAGGTTCTTAAAACAAGCTTTAAAATTTACGTCGTGCTCCAGCATCCTGGGGTTGTTTCTTGCGCCGCTACGAACAGAGTTTGCTTGAATCAACTCAGTACGGCTGAGTCATCCTCAATTCGTTCACGTTAAGCACGATGCCTTGAACATGGCCATGCTCAGGCCCACGAAAAGACGCATAAGCACTCGGGCGAGGCCAATCTCCAAATTGGGATGCCGGTTTTGAGCAAAGTTAGAAAGGATCTGCCTTCCATGTTTCTCAACATACCACAACGCAGCATGTTTGAGTTGTTCAGCACAGCTTCACCAAAGACCTCTGGCACATATGCTTGGATCCCTTCCTGAATAATCTTATCCAACGCCTGTGTAAGCAGTGACCGAACACCCACCAAGCTCAATGCCTACCTCCCCCTCCTACTTGGATAAACCAGTCCCAGATTCTGAAATCCCTTAATGATGGCATTCACTGCAGCCTCATTAATCATCATCTGTTGGAGTAGTGTAAGGATGAATTGCATCCCGGGAGCGTCTTCCTCAAGGTCTGGAGACGATGTTGTGGAAGCAGCATCCTCGCTATGGGATGCATCCCAGTCTTGAGATCGCAGTAGCAATGCAGCACTGACAAACTCGGTTCTTTGAGGGGCACAGCTGGTCTTTTCTGCCAGCAACGCTTTACTTAAGAGTGCCTGTGACGGGCTCTATCTTTCAGAACGTGACAGTATAGGCATTGGATCCATGTATCTGGCACGCTGCAACATATAAAGTAAGTCGCGTTAATCGAAACCAACACTGAATCTAATGCCCGCAGCCAACCTTCGAAAAACCAACCGACATGGAAACTTCAAATCCCAAAGTCTGCCTCCAGCACCTTGATTTGCGCGTCGACTTCCTGTCCAAACAGTTGCGCCGCATTTGCTTGAATCAGATTTGCACTTGATGTTGGCGCTCATGTTGCCTAGCTTCCAACTATTCTGCGAGCCCTGCGTTCACCGAAGCTGCCTAGACTCAGATGCCTATGAGTAAGGCCTTCTCTGGCTGGTTTCCAAAGGACCCGTTGCGACTGAACGCCGCCGCTGTCAGACACTGCATGTTGTCAAAGCCCTACCGTCGATATGCGGGTAGGTTGTTACATGAGTTATATGCGATGCCTTCACTTTGGCCGCAAAGCGTTCCATCTCCTCGGTAGTGTCTTGCAGCTTACAGCTGATGACAGCTAGCTCGTTCACTGGATGTCAAGTATAAATCCCTGGAACACGTGCGCCGAGCTTAGGGGGCTCGCAATTGTGCTGCCGGTCTGTGCCGGTAGGCGGTTAGGCTTCGGGCTTCTGCGGCGGAGAGAATTGTAATGACACAGCCAGATCAGGCCGTTGAGCTCCGAATCCGCAGGTTCGGAGCATGATCTACGACGAAGCACATGGGTAGGGGAGACATGCTTGTCCACTTGAGAAGATGCAGAAGCTGGGCAGGGCAGTCCTACACATTCTCCACACCACGCTCACTCATTGAACTCCCAAAGCACTCTCTGGGCACCACTCGCTTCTCTAACCGAGAACCCATTCATGCATGCAAGCGCACATGCTATACGAAAGCTTCCCATGTCCAGTCATCAGTTCACACGGACTTGAATCTCTTCTGGACACTCAAAAGCTTTGATCCGGCTACATCTGCTTTTGTTCCTTCTTCGTGGGCTTCTTAAGTACCGGCACAGAAGGCATATCAGTGGCTCCACGAGAACAAGCTTTTTGGGGCTCAGTGCATGGGGGAACGTGTCTCCTTTCCTTGAGCGTGCGTGTCATGGAACCAAGGCTTGAGACATAGCAAAAACTGTTTGAAGCAGGTTAGGCCGAGAGGCGTCCCTTGGCGCAGCGTCGTGCAATGCTGACAGCACCGCCTGACTCCAGTTCCTGCAGCTGCTGCTTTCAAACCAGAGATGCACTTCTGCGGGCAAATTCCCAGAATAGCGGAGATGCCAACCGCCAGCTTACTTACTCAGGGCTTGAAGTGTAGAGGGGGTAAAGACTTCAGAAAACAATGATCCCAGCCTGGGTGTGTTCGCAATCTACTCTCTCTGAACCCCAAACCCTGGATTGCTAAGTCGATGGCTCGCTGCCTCCAGTCAACAAAACCATAATTCCTAACCAGCCATCAGAACTTCGCTGCCCCAAAATAAGGAAGTAACAACGACGGCAGTGCGTGAAGTGGAGAGGCGGTCCTAGGGACATGGCCTGCAAGGACAAACGACTACAAACATGTCAGGTCTAGACATAAGCCCATGATGAACCTGAGAGCCTCTTTCCTCCTGATGCATGCTTCTGGGTCCCCGGGCGCGCTGTCGGGATCCTGGAAGATCTTGGTCGTCGCTTTCTTGAGCTGTTTACGGCTCAGCTTCCTGGTTGGACACATCAAGTTGCTTCAAACTGCACTTCCGCCGGAGGTTTACCTCATCACGCGACCAAGTCTGCTCATCTATTGCCCACTTGCGGCAGTTGATGATTTGAATTTCACGTTTGTATTCCGCGTGCTTGTCATTTGTGCATTGCCCTTCCGTTGGACCAGATCCAACAAGGATGGCAAACAAATCAGTAATGCGTTTCACCTTTATAAGCCGGGATGTGGTTCTTCTTAAAATTTCAGGGCTTCCGCCAAGGCATGGCTGTAAAGGGGGCTCCAACATCTCCAAAGCAAATGAAGACAACTCTACCACGGTCTAGATTCCCTTGCCTTGCTGTAGAGAACCCTGAGTCCAAAGGACCCTAGCAGCTCAGCGAAGCAAAAAAAACCTGAATTCCTGACGCACGGCCCTCAAGCTGAAAGAGCCAAATTGTCAAAGGTGCGGTGACTGTGACTTCGCTTCCTCAGCTTGGGCCGGTGTGCACAACAAAGCGCCAAAAGTAGCGTATTGTAAACAACTCAAGGAATGCAAGGGGGCGCGACCGTCAAACTTCTCTATAGACGTCTTAGACCCCTCAAAATCTCAGGCCTGTTCACAAATCACAGTCAGCGTCAGTAAGAGGTTTGCCAACTCTGACTACGGTGGTATGTATGCCTTGCGGCCTAAGATCAAAGACATGCTGAACAACGTGACCTAACCCCACACCACATGGGCCTGGCTTGAAAGCACCAGTCGCAATCCTCAGAACTTCCAGTGCAAAACACCCCACAACCCACACCCCAACACTTCGCCGGTTTTCACTGAAAAACTCAGTCCCCCTCAAATACTCCAGCTTTGGCTTCGTATATCTTGTGGAACAAGGTTCGTCCCTTGATTTCTGCTGCCGCAGCCAACGTTTCCTGCGCTCCTGACAGCGCGAGACGTATGGTGACACAAAAGCCTGACACAAGTGCAAAATGACTATCATGGATTGAGCCGCTTAAGATCACCACCAAAATATACGGCCTGAAGTTCATGTGATTGGCTTAACGCCTGCGAAGGCGCCCACTTCATCTTGCAGCTGCCCGCTACAAAGCCAAAACTACACTGCACCAAAGCAACTGCGCTGGAGATCCCAAGGAACGCAGGCAAAAGTGCTCTGTGCTCCAACACAACCAGAAAGTATCATTGGCTCTGTTCCGGCCTTCTTGTCGTCCAAGTCTGCCGTCACACGTCTGCCATCGCACCTTGGGTGAGCAGGCCACTACAGGGCCAAGCATCAAATCTGGCACTTTTGCTGGCGGACGGCCTCTGTCACTCAATCTAAAGAACCCTACAAGCGAGATGGGATTTACTTGGGAAGCTTTGCCAAAGCGATGTTGCCCATCCAACTTTCAACATCAGGCGACTTGAAAATATGCATCCGTGCTGCGTGGTCTGCACCACAAGACCTGCACAACATCAGGGCCCAAAACGCGGTAGCCTTTGTCGAAAGAACCCCACGTATTCCTGCAGAGGGACCTGCATCCCTGCGATCCAGACAGAGCGGGAAAGAATTGAGTGTCTTGCAGCTTTACGTTTCTGATCTCAGTCATTCTGTTGTCAGCTCCAGGGATGATCCTTGCATACAATCATTCCGGCATGGATCTCATCTTGGGAGAACAGCTGTTATCTTCAGACACACTCTTGCCATGCAACCATCGACTTTTGCCTTTCCCAAAGCAACTCCTCCTTCTAGGGGTGCATGCAAAAGCAAACGAACCCTGCTTTGCCATTTCGCTGTCCATTTCTTGTGGGGTGCATTTGTCCCTCAAATTTGGATGCAATGACCGGCCTGGTGTCATCAGCTTTCTGCAAGCTTCGCATTGCGGCAGCGACCTGAGTGCTGTTCAGGGCTATTAAGTCCACGCAAACACCAGTCGGCATACCCAACCCCATCAACCGGCGCATCTGGCAAAGCAGGCTTTGCACTGGCATTTGATTCGATGGGGCTTGTACACTGGAAACCATCCCGCAACCCTGCATCCTACATCTCGTCCTAGTCCTCGAGCCCGACATTCTGAAAGTGCTTCTGAGAAACGTCTACAAGGCGAACACTCAATTTTCACCAATGTTTGCCTTTCACCCCCTTCAGCCCAGGACTGTCCTTCATGCTGGATGCCGCTCCAGAGCAGCCAGCAATTGAAACAGAACATGCGGAGAAGTAACAAAGGTGTCACACAAAACGGAACATGCCTCCAAGGTTACCGGAACCCCTCAAATTCATATCCTGCGCGCTAAAACATACGTAAACCTTAACTGCATCACCCTGAAGACCCAAGATGACTTCAAGCCCCGCAAAACCTGCTACCCATTCTGAACTCCGTCTGTTCTCTGTCGCCTATGAAGCCCCGAACATGAATTTGAGTCCTGGGGATTTACAGCGAGAACAGGATGGCCCTTGATGAATGAGGTGAGAACGGAGGAACACCCCCAACTCTTCAG